GTGCTTCTGGTGCCCACGCAGCTCAGCTTCTGTGCCCTAGGAGCTTAGGATGGCATCGGAGGAGCTTCCTTCCAGGTCCTGGGACCGGCTCAGCTTCTCTGCCCTAGGAGCTTGGGATGGCGGCGGGGGAGCTTCCTTCCGGGTTCTGGGACCAGCTCACCTTCTCTGCCCTAGGAGCTTGAGATGGCGGCGGGGGAGCTGCTTTTAAAATTCTTAACTGCTTTTCTTCCACAGTTCATGGAGGGTAATCTTTTTTTGGCACCGGGGATCAAACTCTGGACCTTGTGCTTGCAAGGCAGGTGGCGGCACCACTGAGCCAAATCCCCGGCCTCCATGGGGGGTAATCTTTTTTTCATTGTTTATTGGTACATTTTAGGTATATAATACAGTTACATTCATCATTGGGATCTTGTACCTTTACATGATTTATCTTGGTTCTTATTTTTTTCCCCATTTCCCTACCCTCCTTTCTCCCCCCTCCACCCTTCCCTATTTACAAAGACTTTGTTTCCATTTTTTCCTTTTCTCATTTTTTTCTTTTCCCTTCTTTCCTTTCCCCTGCCCCTCCCACTTCCCCTACTCCTTTAGACCTTTTCTTCCTATTTCACATTATCAGTTATACATTTTGATCCTTATTTACACTTTTAGTTTTTCACACCAGAGAAACTATTCAGTATTTACACATTGTGTTCTATTTATTTCACTTAAGAGTATGGCCTCAATGTGCATCCATTTAGCTATAAATGTCTGTAGTTTTTCATTCTTTATGATTGAGTAGTACTCCATTTTAAGAAAAAACCCCACATCTTCTTGATCCAGTCTCCAGTTGTTGGGCAGTTGGGCTGTTTCCAAGCTTTAGCTATTACGAATTGTGCTGCCATAAACATGGGTGTTCATATATCGCTGTGGTATGATTCTTTTAATTCTTTTGGGAAGATACCCAGCAGAGGAATAGCTGGGTCAAATGGGACTGTTAATCCTAGTTTTTTGAGTTATCTCATTATTGATTTCCACAGTGGTTGCACCAGTCTACCCTCCCACAAACAATGGAGAAGGAGTTCTTTCTCCCCACAACCCTGCTAGCATTTGTTATTGTTTGATTTCTTGATAGCAGCCATTCTTTCTGGGGTGAGGTGGAATCTCACTGTTGTTTTCATCTGCATCTCTTGAATGACCAGTGATGTTGAACATTTTTTCATATGTTTATTTGCTGCTTTTACTTCTTTGAGAAATGTCTGTTGATTTCAGATGCCCACTTTTGAATTGGGTCTTTATATTTGGGGGGTCTGATTTTTTTTGAGTTCTTTATATATTCTAGATAGTAGACCTTTGTCTGAGGGACAGCTGGTAAAAATTTTTCCCACATTGTACATTGTCTCGGCCCTGTTGGTAGTTTCTATTGCAGTGCAGAAGCTTTTTAATAAGATGAGATCCCAGTTGTTGATTCTTTGTGCTAGTTCCTGTGCTACTAAGGATTTGTTCATAAAGTCTTTTCCTATACCAGTGTCTTTGAGAGTTCTACCTAACTTATCTTCCAGCAAGTTTAGTGTTTGTGTTTTAATACTTAGACCTTTAATCCACTTCAATCTTATTTTAGTGCATGGTGAAAGATATGGGTCTAGTTTTAATCTCTGGCAGGTTGAAATCCAGTTTTTCCAACACCATTTATTAAAAAGACTATCTTTCCTCCAATGAGGGTTGTTGGCTCCTTTGTCAAAAATGAGGTGGCTGAGTGTTTCTCGATTTGTTTCTGCATCTTCTAATTTATTCCACTGTTCCTCGGGTCTGTTTCTTTGCCAGTACCATGCTGTTTTTAGCACAATAGCTTTGTAGTATAGTTTCAAGTTGGGGATTGTGATGCCCATGGGGCTAATCTTAATGAAGTCATTTTCCTAATCCTCTCCTTGTTCATCTCAGATGTTGCCATTGTGGACATCAGTGACAGCTTCAGACAGCCTTCCCTCTTCTACCATCTTGGAGTCCGTGAGAGCTTCGACATGGCCAATAACGTGATCCTGTACCATGACACCGATGATGACACTGCTCTGTCATTGAAGGTAAAGTGCTTTCCTTGAATATTTTATTTTCTTAAGTATTTTCCTTGAATACTTTATTTTGGGAAAACATAGTTACATGTCAAGCTGAAGTATAACCATAGCACAAGATGTTGGCAAAAAAGTAATGAAGAATTGCTTATACAATTCTGTCCTTCCCACCACAAGTTCTAGTTCACACAAATGACATCCTCTGCTGTGTGAGCATCTTTGCTAAGTGGAGCTTTTGCAGGCAACCTGAACACTTGCGGCCTCATTAGGGAAGTGAAGGCAAAAACTGGTAATTTCCGCTGATACAGATACACCACTGTGAATCATTCATGGGCAATTTGATCCAAACCTACACATTATAAAAATCAGTTCTTGACTTGGATAATGATTTGAAGACATTTAACAGTTACCAAAATGACTAGATAATTTTAGCATAGACATAATCAATATTTAATTTATTTTCCTCCGGTATGAAAGCAAAGCAAAACTGAAAACTTGTATGCTCCTGTACAACTCAGTAATTATTCAGAATTTTTGAAATTATTTTTCCAAGTTTGATACAAGTTTTTTTTGATAATATAGTACTTTAAAATTCTTATATTTGTAAAATGTAAGTATTTAACATGAGTCATTCCAAAATTCAGCTAATACTACTATTGTTGAATATCTTAGGAAATTCTGGTCTACATGAAACCATTTTAGGAATAATCAGTTTGTTTACAGCAGTGCTTCTCAACCTTGACTGTACTTTAGAATAACCCAGAGAGCTAGGGCACACTCAGGCCAGCTATGTCCCAATCTTTGGGAGTTGGGCCCACGCTTGAATTTTTTTTTTTAACATCCCAAATGTACAACCGGGATGAGGATCAGTGGTTTACAGAGTTAAATTTCACAGACATTTCTAAATGTTCAACTCCCTCGGTAATAAAAATCACCAGTTATATAGTAGTGCAATTTTATGTCAGTGTTGGACCCTTTTGTTTGTGTTTCTTTCTATCTTTTTTTCTTTTCTTTTTTTTTTGGTACTGGGGATCGAACTTGGGTCCTTGTGCTTTGCGAGGCAGGCGGCGGAACCACTGAGCTAAATCTCCAGCCCTTGTTTGTGTTTCTTAAGATTTAATATTAACCAGATTTCTCTGGGTTCTGTTGAGATTATTTCCTGAGGAAAATATCACCTGCTTCAGATGTGTGATCTGTGTGTGTTACACTTCAATACAGTTTATATAGATGTCTATCCTGTAATTGTAGCACAACATTTTAAGAAGTAATTCGTATGTCAATGAAAAAGGAACTTTCAGTCTACACTATAAAATAGTTTAGATATTGACTTTGACTGATTTTCACTGAGGAAGTTATGCTTGGAAATACTTAGAATTTAGAAAATATGAAACTATAGATTATTTTTGATGAGAAACGTGAAATCAGAATGTTTTTTTCCAATATAACACATTTATTTTCTCTCTGTGGCTTAGCAAAGCCTCTGAAAGTTCCTATACCTACGTAAGTTTTAATTTTGAATGATATAGACAAATGTTTCCTAAAGTGGAAATGAGTAGTCATCTATATCTAACACGAGATAAATCAGTCTGAATTTGTTATGAGGAAATAAACATCCCTCAATATATCAAGCACATTTTATAGGGCAGCTATTTAACTGTTCTCTTTTTGCAGAAATGTTGGTTTTCAGTATATAGATGCCATAGTAAAAGGCTGCATAACCATCATGCTAAGTTAACTGACAAAATTGTTTTCATTGAAATCAGGTGTGGTGGCACATGCCCATAATCCCAGCACTTGGGAGGCTGAGGCAGGGATATTTTCTGGAGTTTGGGGCTGGCTTGGGCTACATAATCAGTTCAAGGCCAGCCTGAACTACAGAGCAAGACCCTGTCTCAAAAAGGCAAAAAATTGCTGTCATTGAATTTGAACATGCATAGAAAGTTCTGGTGGGAGTGGCACAGTTTGTAATAGCTAAAACTTGGAAACAGCCCAATTGCCCATCAACTGGAGACTGGTTCAAAAAGATGTTTGTTTTTTTTTTAATAAAATGGAATACTACTCAGCCATAACGAAAAACTAGAGACATTTATAGCTAAATGGATGCACATTGAGGCCATACTCTTAAGTGAAATAAATAGAACACAGATGTGTAAATACTGAATAGTTTCTCTGGTGTGAAAAACTAAAAGTGTAAATAAGGATCAAAATGTATAACTGATAATGTGAAATAGGAAGAAAAGGTCTAAAGGAGTAGGGAAAGTGGGAGGGGTCGAGGAAAGGAAAGAAGGGAAAAGAAAAAATATGAGCAAAGGAAAAAATGGAAACAAAGTCTTTGTAAATAGGAAAAGGTAGAGGGGGTGAAGGGAGGGCAGGGGAATGGGGAAAAAATAACCCAAATACATCATGTAAAGGTACAAGATCCCAATGTTGAATGCAACTGTATTGTATATCTAAAATGTACCAATAAGCTTAATGAAAAAAAAAGAATGTTCTAGTGGGGTAACAGGAATACTTTGGCAACCCTTCTTCTGTAGGAAGGTGACTCTGTGACCTATAGCCTTTGCATTGATCAAATCAAGAATGCTTCTAAATTCTTGGATAACACAGTGCTTCCCAGGCACTTTCTTCTTGTCACTGACATTCTTCTCTTGGAAGGTGAGATGCAGAGCACTTTGTGCCCTGAAGTTGAATCTCAAATTATCTCTTAGGCAAAGGCATTGCCACTGCTATAGCAAAATCCTTACAAGCAAAAAAATCCCCCCACCCCCGTAGTTGTTCAAAGCTGATCAATTGTGATCAGTTTTCCTTGGAATATGAATTTTACAATTCTTGGAATTTCATCTATTTGAAGCTGTTTGGTGAGGAGGGTTCAAATGATTACTTTTTGCTGAAAGGTGGGTGCTAGTTTATTGGAAGGGAGTGTTGGCTAATGCTTTTGGAAATTAATGTTTAAAAAGCTATATTCATCTTTTCTTTTTCTTTTCAGGATACGGTAACTCAAAAAAACACAGTAAGTATTACATTTTCAAGTTTTTAACCTCATAAATGTAAATTAGTGAAATGCTTGTCGAAAATTACACGGGGAGTAAGCAAGGTGATTTCTTTTTTTTCCTTTTTTTTTTTTTGGTACTGGGGATTGAACTCAGGTCCTTCCACTTGCGAGACTGGTGCCAGAACCACTGAGCTAAATCCCCAGCCCAGCAAGGTGATTTCTAATTCTGCCTTTTGGTTGGGTTTTTTGCGGAGGACAGCTAGAAACTTCCTCCCAATTCCTCCACCTACTAGCTCAGACAGGCCATTGAGAGTGGGGCAAAAGGCAAGGGCAGGAAAATGTATGTTCTTCATTATTCACTAGGACATTGAACTTGGAACCATTTGGCTCTCTCCTGAGCTGGGTTTGTATTCCCCTGGACCACCACGAGTCTTTGATGAAGCCAATACTTCCCATACTTAGCCAACAAAGTTTCTCTGATAATGGAGGAACATGAACTTGTACCCCAGTTAGGCACCAAGCCAAAAGTTCCTTTCCACAAGCTGAAAAGAAATGGGATGGAATTCCTCTTAATTTTTTTCCTCATGTACTGAAGTCTCTTTATTTGGCTTAAAAATTTCTTAACTGCATAGTTTTATCACCATGTTGGTTTTGGTAGTGTAATGGAACTATCACCCAAAAATATTTAAATGAATCATGTCCCCCAAAATTGCGCCAAAATTATCCTGTACCTTTGCACTCCAAACTGCTCCTTCCCCTAAGACCCATGGCAGTGATGGTGAACCTTTTAGAGATGAGTGTCCAAACTGGAACCCAAAACCCACTTATTTATCACAAAGTGGCAACATTGTAATTAAACCTGAATACTTAGGTCTTAGTTTAGAAAAAACAACTCATACATTCATCTGTCTTAAACGAAAAACAACATGCGTGCCATAGGTTTGCTACCACTGACCTATGGCATTGTGGTTTGAGAAACTGCAACCTAGACTAGAACAGGTCCTTGCTTTCCTATCTTTTGGGCCTCAGCTTCCTTCCCACTGGCCCTTCTAAAAGGGCCTTTTCCTATCCCAGTTGAGATTCCTATAGGGATAGGGGTTGAAGGGGCCAGGAGTGAAACTCTCTTCAGGGAACCCTCTCCAGAGGAGCAGGAGCTTTGTGTGACTTTACCCCTTCACAGAAGGTCCCACCCTGCAGCTGCAAGGCCCAGGCTTTCCCAGTACCCCACCTGAGACGGAAGCCTTGGCCTTCTTCCTCCACAAGAGGATGAACTTCTAGAAACAAAGTAAGTGGTGTAGGTCATGCAGTTATCACTGGAACATGGATTTACAAACTGCTTTGAAAAATAAGGCATGAGGATTCTTTTAAGTTCCTCTTGGAAAAGAAATGGGACATTGTTTGACTTCATTTTATTCCATTGATATGCTAACATCCACTTATGGAGGAGTCTTTCCTGTTCTTTGTAGACCTTCATTTTTTACATTGCTTCTTTCATGGAAAAATAGGGGAGCAATTGAAAGAAATTAGGCCTGAAGCCCAGGAGGTACACTTGTAGTTGTATTTTTGTGTCTTAGTCACATTAGGCAGTTGATCCACCCTGTCCGGGTCACATCAGTAAAATGAGAAATATTGAAGCCTATTCTTTTGTTTATGAATACCTTCCAGCATTCAACATTTGTGGTTCCATATTTATTGCACAAACGAGAGGTTGTAACTTGGATATAATGCAAGGATTATTTATGAAACACTTGTTCCTTGAAATAGCAAGAGCTACATTAAGGCAAGAAGCAAGAAAAACAACTTTTTTTTTCTTTTTCCATTCCTATTGGGTGCATCTGCAATTAGAAATATTCTTGTCCTTAGGGTTATAATTAATGCTAAGTAGTGTAACGAATTCTGTTATAATTCCACATGTCTTCTCCTATTATACATTTTCCTCCTAAATACTCAGGAATTCCTTTATCATTCATAGTAATTCTGAGCCTATATTGGCACCATTTTTTCTAAGTGTTTTGTTAGCAATGAATTTATTCTATAGGATTTGGCAACTAATGTCTCCATTGTAGTTGGCATTGCATTAGAATTCAGTTCCCAGTATTGAATACCATGCTTGGCAAAGTGTGAAATATTAGAGCATCCAGAAGAATTTTTAAAAGGACTTGAGTTGACTTGGAGAATAGAATATAACACCAAAGAGGAAAGGATAAAGGGAAATAACCATTGGGAGGTGCCATTAATGGTTATCCTCAAATGTTATTCTTTTTCTAAAGTGAAGAGACTGGTACTTTTTTCACTCCAGATGGGATGGAAGTAGGGCAAACAGAAGAACGGTTTGGATCAGCAGAATGGACAGCTTGCAGCTAATGGTGATTAAACATTAAAACAGAATGTCAAAGTAAATTGGAGTAAGGAGTGTTTGCTCAGTAGGCCATTGCATTTAGATTGGGGTAATATTGGGATAGGAAGCCTGAATCTTAGGACCCCAAAGATTCTGAGAGAGGATCAGGTAGAATTGTGGGTTTGTGACCAGTTTTGAAAGATAAAAACACATACAATATAGTCATAGCTAGTGAATTCTAAAGTCCTCTAAATCAGGTACAGATTAAACACAACATCTCGAACATGTAGGCAGAAGTTTGAAGTGATTTGAGAATATATGAAAATCAAGATGCTTTGAAATATATATTCTAGAAATCATTTGCTGGTTCTAGAATTGTACCTGTTATATTGAATTCATTCAACAGAGGGGTGAGCACGTTTGTCTTCATTTCTAGGAATATTTGCTTGGCAGGGTTGTAATGAACAAAGTCTCTGGGCTTGAGTCTAGACTATGCGTAAACGTTCTGGGCTCCTTTGCTCTTTGGAATGAAGGCATCACCTTTGTGCTCACGGTTTTTTTCACATGACATTCACTTCTCATGTTCCAGGTTTTGTTTTTTAAAAACACTTTGCTTAGGGCCAGGGATTTAGCTCAGTGGTTCTGCCGCCTACGTTGCAGATGCAAGGACCCGAGTTTAATCCCAGTACCAAAAAACAAAAACAAAAACAAAAACACTTTGCCTAGGTATAGCTTACACATCATAAAATCAACCCATATGAAGCTTACACAATCATTATGCTCCAGTTTTGGAGCATTTCCTGCATCCCCCAAAATGCCCATTTGCAGACAGTCCCTGTTCCCATCCCCAGCAGCAAGCAACTACTAAATCTGTTTTATATCTTATAGGTTTGCCTTTTCAGAGCTTTTCACATGAATGGAGTCATGCAATATATGGTATTTTGCATCTGACTTGTCTTATTCTGTGATGGATTTGAAGTTCACCCATGATGTAAGATGTATCAGTAATTTGATCCTTGTAATTGTTGAATGGCATTTTACTGTATGGATATTCCACATTTTATTTATCCATTCTTCAGTGATTGACATTTGAGTTGTTTCTACTTTGGGGCTCCTATGAGTAATACTGGTATGAACATTTAAGAACAAGTTTTCACATAGATGTGTTTTCATTCTTCTTGACTAGATGTCTGGGAATGGAATTGCTGGATCATATGTTAAGTATATGTTTAATTTCCTAAGAAACTGCCAAAATGATTCCAAAGTGGCTGTACCATTTTATATTTCCAAAAGCACTGGAAGGTCCAACTTCTTCACATTCTCACCAGTGTTTTGTATTATCTTTTTGTTATAGCTGTCTTAGTTACTTTTCTCATTGCTGAGGCAAATACCTGACACCCAAAGTTAAAGGAGAAAAAGCTTTTTGTAGCTCACAGTTTGTAGAGGTTTCAGTCCATAGTCACCTGGTTCCAAGGCAAGGTGGCATGGCAGAGGAGAAATAGTTCATTGCAAAGCAGGGCAGGCAGAAGGCAGCCAGCAGTGAAGTAACAAGCAGAAAGTGACAACATTAGCCTTCTTTCTGTCCCTTGTATTCTACCTTATATTCTGTTCGGGCTACCTGCCCTTAGGGTAGGAGATCCTTAATCCTAGCATCACACCATTAATCCTAGCCTCACATCCTTAATCCCATCATCACATACCCTAGATTCAGCCACCTCTGAAAAGTCCCACCTATGACAATTTGAGGCTTTGGGGGGACGTCCATATACAAGCCATAATAGCCATTCTACCAAATGTGAAGTGATATCTCATTGTGGTTTTAATTTGCTTCTTCCTAGTGATATTCAGCATCTTTTTATGTTATTAGCTATTTATAGTCTTCTTTGGTGAAATGTCTGTTGAAATCTTTCCCCCAATTTTAATTGGGTTGTGTACTAATTATGGAAATTTTTTTTTTTTTTGGTACCGGGGATCGAACTCGGGTCCTTGCACTTGCGCAGCAGGCGGCAAAACCACTGAGCTAAATCCCCGGCCCTAATTATGGAATTTTAACAGTTCTTCATTCTGGAAGCAAGGCCCTTATCAGTAGCTTTGTAAGTTATTTCTTTTACAGGTAATACTTCTAAGGTAGTTTCTAAGAACTCAGCCCAACTCATTGTCAGGAAATATTACTGCTATGTTTTTTAGAAAATGTTTTATAGTTTTAGCTCTTATATTTAGGTATCTGATCCATTTTGAGTTGATTTTTATATATGGTGTGAGGTAGGTTTTTTGTTTGTTTTTCTGCAGTACAAGGGATCGAACTCAGGACCTTGTGCTTGCAAGGCAGGCGCCGTGCCACTGGACTAAATCCCTGGCCCTGAGATAGGTTTTTAAGTTCATTCTTTTTCATGTGAATATCCAGTTGTCCTAGCACTTTTTTTTGGGGGGGGAAGACTACCATTTCCTCCATTAAATTATCTTGGCACTCTTGTTGAAATCAACTGAGCATATATGTAAAGGTTTATTTTTGGACTCTCAATTGTAGTTCATTGATCCATATGTCTATCCTTATGTAAGTGGCATGTTTTGATTATCATAGTGCTGCAGTAAGTTTTGGAATTGGGAAGCCTGAGTTATCCAACTTTGTTGTTTTTCAACATTTTTTTGACTAATTCTAGCTCCATATGAATTTTTTTGT